GCGGGCGGGCGGGCGGGCGGGCTTCCCAGACTGTAGCTCCTCCCACCCCGCAGACAGCGCTTTGGACCCCTGGCAGGCTCCAGGAGGGGCTGGCAAATCCCTTCTTCCGCTGTTTCCAATGAATTCTTCCATTCATTACCCCAACCCTAAGGGGATACAAGGGGAGGAGGCTCAAGCTACAGATGGTGAAACTGGTCATATTGTCCTTGGAGACAGAGCTAGTACAGTGCCCAGGAAAATTAGCCCCAAGACCGGCCACCCCACAGAGTCTACATTCCAGCTGCCTCCTCCCATCATTAGAACACGATCTGCCTATAAAATCTAAGCCCAGCCACCAAGAAAATCTCTCAAAAGTTGTCTACATTCAACAAACAAAAGAATTCTTTGTAGATGAAATAAAAGTAGTGGTTATGGCCAGGCATGATGCATGGTATAGGCCTTTAAAACCCCAGCACTCAGAGGGCAGAGGCAGGCAGAGCTCTGTGAGTTCGAGGTCAGCCTGGTCTATGGAATGAGTTCCAGGACAGCCAAGGCTACACAAAGAAACCTTGTCTCAAGGGGGAAAAAAAAGTAATGGTTACTTGTGGGGATATCAACCGGAGGGTACAAAGGCAGCTTCTGAGAGGGACTGAAGTGCTAGGCTTCAGCTAAACTGAAGCTGGGAGGCAACTGCACAAATCTCTGTAGTCTAAGACTTCCTGAGTCAGTAGCTTTGAGATTTGTCAGTTTATTATCTTTTTTATTTAAAAAAAAAAAAAATCTCCTTGAGACAAGGTCTCTCTATGCAGTCCGGAGTGGCCTTGTTCATTATCCCCTCGCTCTCCCACCTCTTGTGCAGGAATTCCAGGGCTACACCAACATACTTACCATTTTTTCATCTTTTCTTCACTTGCTCTCTCTAGCTGTTTATCACTCTTTTGTCTATCCACAAAACTGCCCTGGGCAAGGACCTTAATGACCAGTCGTTTTCTTTTGCCAATTTAATTTTTTAACATTCCATTACTTTATTTTCTATATGAGTGTTTTGCCTGCATACATTGTGTGCATCATATGCATGCCTTGGGCCCAAGGGGCTAGAAGAGGGTGTCAGATACCCTGGAATCAGAGTTACATGTGGTTCCTCAGAATCAAACCCAAGTCCTCTAAAAGAGCAGCAAATGTTCTTGAGGACTGAGCTATCTCTCCAATCTTGTTATTTTGTTAATTTTAGTTATTATTGGTAAATTTTAATTATTATTGGTATGTGTGAGTATGTGTGTGTGTGTGTGATGTGTGTGGTGTGTGTATGTGAATGTGTGTGATGTGTGTGGTGTGTGTATGTGAATGTGTGTGATGTGGGTGGTATGTGTATGTGTGTGATGTGGGTGGTGTGTGTATGTGAATGTGTGTGGTGTGTGTATGTGAATGTGTGTGATGTGGGTGGTGTGTGTATGTGAATGTGTGTGGTGTGTGTATGTGAATGTGTGTGATGTGTGTGGTGTGTGTATGTGAATGTGTGTGATGTGGGTGGTGTGTGTATGTGAATGTGTGCGATGTGTGTGGTGTGTGAATGTATGTGAATGTGTGTGATGTGGGTGGTGTGTGTATGTGAATGTGTGTGATGTGTGTGGTGTGTGAAGGTGGACAAATACCATAGCACTTACATAGAAGTCAGAGAACAACTTTTCAGGAGTCAGCTCTCTCTTACTGTGGGATCCAGGGATTGGATTTGGGGTCTTAGTTTTTTTTATTCAATGAGTTATCTCAACAGCCCTGTTTTGAGACAGGGTTTCATTATGTTGCCCAGACTACTCCTGCCTCTGCCACCCAAGTAGATGAGACTACAGGCACATGCCACTGCACACTCTCAAGCCAGCAGTTTCTTCTCTTGTGTGTAAGTGGAGGTGAGTGTTTGGATTGGTACACATGTGGGGGTCAGAGGTCAGCCTCCGCTATCATTGCTCAGGAGCTGTTCACCTTCATTTGTTCTGTCGCTTGACACGGAATCTCTCACTGGCCTGGAAACCATCCACTAGGCTAGCTCACCTGCCAATAAGTCTCAGCGATCAGCCTGTCTCGGCTTCTCACACGGGGGTTACAAGCCTTGCTGCCACACTTGACTTTTTCACATGGTCCTGAGCAGCCTCAGGTCTTCATCCTTGTATGGGAAGCACTTCACTGAACTGTTTCCCAGACTTCTATTCTTTGCCCTTACTCCTCCACAGTGCTTGACGCTTGCTCCCTTCGGCTCTAAAATACCCATGCTCTTTCAGATTCTCTCACTCTCTACGATGGTCAGGCTTCTCTGCAGCCTCTGCTTCATCTTTCCTACCTCCATCCAATGAAAGACTCCAGGGCCTGAACACTGCTCCCTGCTCCCCTCCTTCACACCCATTACCTCCATCTCCTGCAAGGCCATGGCCTAAAACACCACCCACTGGCTTTACCTCCCAGTTCAATCCTCCAGTGTTAACCTCTCCTGGAACTCCACAGTCATACACCTACCAGCTGATCCTGCATCTCCTCAAGGCTCACATGTTCACAATGATCATTTGCTTTTCTCCTAGTCTTTCAGACTTTTTTAAAAAAAGATTTAATTTTTTATTTTTCAAGACAGGTTGTACCAGACTTTTTCTTTTGGGCCACCAGTCATCTCCCAAATCATGACCTAAAGACTTATTAATTATGAATGCTCAGTCTTAGCTCTTATTTTAATGTTTTTCTTGGGGGGTGGAGAGAGAGAGAGGAGAGGGGATCTGTGGGTGGTATGTGGAGTGAGTAGAAAATTTCTTAATAAAGAAAAATGGAGGAAAAAATGTTTTTCTTTATCTACATTTTGCTTTTTACCTTTCTTTCTGTATATCTATTCCACATGCTTCCTGGCTTCTGGCCCAGCACATATTCCTCTCTTTCTCCCTCATTCTCTTCTCTTTCAAGCCTAGATTTCTCCTCCTACTTAGTCTCTCTGGCTGCCAGCCCCGCCTATCCCTCTCCTGCCCAGCTATTGGCTGGTCACCTTTTTATTAGACCAATCAGGTGCCTTAGGCAGGCAAGGTGAAACAAATGTAGCACACTTTTACACAGTTAAAGTAATATTCCATAACAATAACAAATGTAATAATCTTGGCCTAGTTAAAGTAATATTCCACAAGTCTCTTTTTCTTTTCTTTTTTAAAAAATGTATCTATGGGCTGGAGAGATGGCTCAGAGGTTAAGAGCACTGGCTGCTCTTCCAGAGGACCTGGGTTCAATTCCTGGCACCCACATGGCAGCTCTTAACTGTCTGGAACTCCAGTTTCAGAAGATCCAACACCTTCACGCAGACATACATGCAGGCAAAACATGAATGCACATGAAATAAAATGAAAAAAAAAATAAAAAAAATGTATCTATCTATCTATCTGGGTGTTTTGCCTGCATGTGTTTCTGTGAAGCATGTTTGTGTAGTGCCTGCAGAATCCAGAAGAAGGCATCAGATCCCCTGGAACTAGAGTTATAGACAGTTGTGAGCTGCCATGTGGGTACTGAGAATCAAATGGGGGTCCTCTACAAGCACAGCCAGTGCTCTTAACTGCTGAGCCATCTCTCTGGCCTCTCTTTCCAGTTTTTACTAGATTGAAAAAAAAAAACTTTATTGCTCTAGTTACATGTGTGTAAATCATACAGCCAAAAGTTTCTGCTTTCAGAGTTGTCCTTTTACCTGCCTGTCCCTTCCAGGGATGTTTTTCCAACTGTAGGCCAGATCACAGATGAGGGCCCCTTCACAGATGAGGGCCCCTTCACAGATGAGGGCCCCTTCATAGATGAGGGCCCCTTCGTTTGTTACATAGCCCTTTAAAAACCAAAACAAAATTCAAAAATAAGAAAGACTTCTCCAAGTATTTAGCAGCAACTGCTCTAACCGACCATAGCTTCACATTCATCTTTTTAATTCTCCAATTATCCCATTTTTACATAGAGAGCCTGGCCCACGTGCCTATAGCAGACTACATGGCTGTGACGTCCGTCAGCTTCAGTGCACTCTTCTGTCTTTGTGACCGTCAAGACCAGCAAAACAAGATTTTATGGGGAAAGAAACAAGAAGATTCCACCGGATGTTTTTTTTTTTTTTTTTTTTTTTTTTTTTTTTTTTTTTTGGTTTTTCAAGACAGGGTTTCTCTGTGTAGCTTTGTGCTTTTCCTGGAACTGGCTTTGTAGACCAGGCTGGCCTCAAACTCACAGAGATCCGCCTGCCTCTGCCTCTGCCTCCCGAGTGCAGGAATTAAAGGCGTGCGCCACCACCGCCCGGGCCCCACCGGATGTTTTTAATGGCAGTGTCATCCAGCCTGCTGTTCAGGCTGGAACTTGGAATCCATGCCTCATGTTTTGCTTTCCCTGACTGCATCTACATATCAATCAGGCTAGATTTCAGCTCCAAAACATACTTTATAACAGCAGTTCTCAACATGTGGGGCGTAACCCTGTTAGGGGACCCATGTCAGATATTTACATTACAATTCATAACAGTAGCAAAATTACAGTTATGGCCAGGTGTGGTGACACACACCTTTAAATCCCAGCACTGGAGAAGCAGAGGCAGGCAGATCCCTGAGTTCGGGGCCAACCTGGTCTTCATAGTGAGTTCTAGGACAGCCAGGGCTATACAGGGAAGCCTTGTGTTGAAAAACAACACGAGGGCTGGAGAGATGGCTCAGAGGTTAAGAGCACTAATTGCTCTTCCAGAGGTCCTGAGTTCAATTCCCAGCAACCACATGGTGGCTCGAAACCATCTGTAATGAGATCTGGTGCCCTCTTCTGGCCTGCAGTCATACATGCTGTATACATAATAAATAAATAAATCTTTAAAAAAAAAAAAGAAAAACAAAACGAAACAAAAATTACAGTTATGAAGTAGGAACAAAATAATTTTATGGTTGGGGGGTCACCACAACATGAGGAACTGTATGTATTAAAGGGTCACAGCATTAGCAAGGTTAAGAACCACTGCTCCAAAATGACGCTTCTGTTTTGTTTACTCTCTGGGCCCAGAACTAGGCTTCCATATACATACCCTTGCCTGGGGTAAAGGGTAGAACCTCGGCTCTGATTACAGAGTCATTCTCCCAAAACAACTGTATCTCACAGGAACTAGCACTGGTCATTCCCTGAAAAAAGTTCCATGCTCCTCATGGCACCAAAAATAAAACCCAGAGTTTCCCATAAGGCTGCTGAAAGCTTGGTTTTGATGACTCCTTCCCCACCCATCACACACATCTGTGTCTTCCTTAGTTCGGTCTACCTAGCTCCTGCTCCTTGATGTCCTTTATATTGGCAGACTCTTTGGTCTAAAGTGCCCCTCCTCAGTGGACTTAGATGAATTGGATCCAGTTGCATAACGATGTCAGCCACATGTGTTGTTGTTGTTGTTGTTTTTCGAGACAGGGTTTCTCTGGGTAACAATGCTGGCTGACGTGGAACTCACACAGATCCGCCTGCCTATGCCTCTCGGGTGCTGAGATTAAAGGCCTGCGCCACCACCGCCCGGCTCAGCCACATCTGTTAAAGACTCCCATCTCTCAACTGAACTTATGGCCCTCATGCTCCTATATTTTCCCGTCTGCTGATAGGTCCAGTCTGTCTCGTTAGACTCCACCTTTGATTATGGAATAGTCTTGGGGGAAAGGCTCTGAATATTCTGGCCAAAGAGCAGTTTTTCTTTTCCATTTCCGCACGAAACCTATTGGCTGGTGGTGCTGGGAAGTGGAGCTGTAGACCATAGCCCCGCAATCCCCACTAGAGGGCGGTCCAGCCTACCTCGGCTCAGACCCGGCTAGAAGGATGCCGGAGGGGATTTAGCCGTGGCCCTTCCCTTACTGCCTGCCTTAAGGCTCTTTGCAGGGTAGTCACCGCACGGAATCTCAGTCCTATCATTATCAAGGATTGTCAAGGCCAGCCTTGACAGACCCCGAGTGGGTCACATCTGGTCAGATCAGACGATCGGGCGCAGTGCCCACACGTGGGCGTCGCTTCGGGGGCCCCAGTACTGGAGACCGCTATTTCACCAGGGAACAAATTGAAAAGCTGAGACCACTGGACGAACGCGCGGGGGCGGGAGGAGGTCGTGTCTGTCCTGCGTCACGCAGGGTCAGCTAAACCTTTGGAGACACTAGGGGGTCCTGAACTGCCCTAGTGTCTCCCGAGGTGCTACAACCGGGCTGCTCAGCAGTGCGGGGCTGGAGGGCGGGGCTCAAAAGGGTAGGACATCTTCAGCCCGCCCCGCCTCCATTGGCTGGGGCGCCGGAGGCGGGGCGGGGCGCGGCTGCCAGATGTTGGGGCGGCAGCGGCGGGAGCTACCGAGAGCGAGGAGCCTGGAAGTAAGGCGAGGGTGAGGACGCCGCTGGCGGGCCGACCTGGCCCACTCCGCGCTGCTTCCGCGGGTGATCGAGCCGGACGACCTGGAGAGGGCTGCAGCACCCGCGCTAACATGCACAGCGCTCGGCTTGACAGCTTCCTGAGCCAGCTCCGCTGGGAACTGGTGAGGCTTTGGAGTGGGTGTGGTTGTGAGGATGTGTGTGGGGTGCGTGGCTGCCGCCTGGCTGGAACAACAAGCGGGTACGGAGTGGGCTCCGGGTGCCCATCCGAGTCAGGATGGGGGCAGGGCAGCGCGGTGCAGATGGCCCAGATGGCCCGCTTCGGGTTTCTGACGGTTGGGAGCTGTTCTGGGCATCAGGTAACAGGCGCCCAGCTGGCCCTGCCGGCGGCGGGGGACGATAGTCGGCAGAGAAGTTTCTTTGGGGGACTGGCAGGGAGCGCCAAGGGCCTAAAGAAGTGCTGTGCTGCTGTGGACATCCCCTACCATGGGCTGGCCTGTACCTCCTTCCTCTACCCTGCCTGCCTGCCTGCCCTGGTGGCGCGTGCTGACTTGCCCGGCCCTGCGTGCTGCAGCCTGCAGGACTGCCACCAGCTCGGCGGATGGGAGCCACATGAGCCTCGAGTGCCAGTGCCCCCATGTGGGCCCTGTGCTTACAGTTCCGCCTTGCTGCCCAGAGGCTTTTCCAAGTCCTTGTGAACCCTCCGTTCAGGGCTGGCTTGGTCAGACGCTAAGGGGTGGTAAGAAATCCCTCTCTGACTTCTGCTGTCTCTCTCCCTTCAGTTGTGTGGTCGAGACACAGGCTCACCTCCAGTGCCTGGCCCATTGCAACCAAAACCCAAAACTGATCCAAGTGTACAGCCCAACCGCCAGTTCAGGGCCTCAGATGCTCTGGAAGAGGACTCCGTCTGCTGTGTGGAAGAGGAGGAGGAAGAGGAAGCCTTGGTAGCTGAAGACAGGGGTGTACCCTTGGGATGTCCTAGGGAACATGCCCTAGACTGGGACTCTGGCTTTTCAGAGGTGTCAGGCAGTACATGGCGAGAGGAAGAGCTGTCTGTAGCCCGGCGTCAAGCACCCTCAGAACGGCCACCTCAGAGCCAGCGTTTCTCAGTCAGTGACCTCCCCCTGCGCAGCAGGGCAGCTGCAACTGGTATAACACCTGCCCACCGTCCGAGGCCCAAGTCCACTCCAGATGCTTGCCTGGAACACTGGCAGGGATTGGAAGCAGAGGACTGGACGGCAGCCCTGCTGAACAGGGGCCGTAGTAGGCAGCCCCTGGTACTAGGGGATAACTGTTTTGCTGATTTAGTTCACAATTGGATGGAGCTGCCTGAGGCAGCCAGTGAGGGGAGTGATGGAGGTGTACCCCGAGCCCGTGCTCGACCCCCTCAGTTCCTGCTTGGCCTCTCTGAGCAGCTTCGGCGTCGGCTGGCCAGGGCTCGCCGGGCAGCTATGGCAGGAAAGCGACTGTCATGCCCACCTCGTCCAGAACCTGACCTGCCTGCGGACATCTCACGATTTGCAGCCCTCATGAACTGTCGCAGCCGCCAACCTATCATCTATAATGATGTCAGCTACCTCTGACCCTGCCCTCCAGCCAGGGACAATAAAGGCCTTTTTCTAGAATGTTGGTTCCATACTCCTGAGGCTTCAGGAAGCATCCCCAACCCTGTGGAGCACAACCAAGACAGGCCAATCTAGAATCTTCCCTCCTTTCCGGGGCCCCTGTCTTGCCCATCTCACACGCCATCCATGTTCTAGAATCCATCTTCTCTACTTTCTTCAACAAGCTTTTATTGTTGAACTGTCTGCTGTGAGCTCGAGATGCAGGGATTTTATATCGAGTTTGTTATGGCCCAGTGGTGGTGTGGTGGCTACCTTGTCACAGCTCATAATGCAGAGGTGGGAAGGCAGTTTCGTCCTCCTCACCCTCACAGCTCAGCTCCAGCACCAGAACCCGCAGCCCGGGCTCAGGCTCCCAGCTGGTCACTTGCCGAACCAGTTCTGTTACCCTGGTATGGAAGGGGGTTTAGGGGAGACTTGGTAGGTGAGCTGAGGCAGACAGAGGGCAACCTAGTGTGGACTAGAGGGTGCTGGTGCGCCTCAGGAGCCCCAACCAGGAGCAGGAGTGGCTCAAGGCAGGAAACATCTGAAACTATTTTAGGAGCAGCTGGTGGGGCAGGCAGGAGGCAGGAAGCTGTGGGTCCCTTGGGAGTAGGATGTGAAAGGGGGGCTGGGCAGTGTATGGGGAGCCAGGGGGGCTGGCCAAGCAGACAGCTACTGAAGTCCCCTTTCTCAGGCTCTTAGCCCCACCCCCCCAAGCCCATTTGTTGGCCCCATTTGGTGGAAGAATGCTTCAAGAAGGTGTGAGGGGCCTAGGATGGGGTGGAGAAAAAGCAGCTGTCACCTATCCCCAACATCCAGGGACATGGTCGGGCCTGCCTGTGGTCAAGTACTGGCTCACCTGAGGCCCAGGCGCTGAGTCTGCTTTTCAGATGACCACTGTGCGGAGTAGAGAACAGCCTGGCCATGCAGCAGCATCTTCACCTTTAGTCCGTGCTCTTTCTAAAATACAGACATCAGACACTCATTGGGCCAGGCTGGGCTGGGCCTGGGGCAGAGAGGAGGCGGGGCACACCTGGAGATGGGCCAGCAGTGATGCCAGGGTCCTCTCAGGATGTCCAGCGGGCACCTTCAGGCGGTCCCAACAGGTCCATTTCAGGTGATGGAACTACAGGATGGAGGTGAGGAGGAATTAGAGATTTCTCACACAAATCTGCAACCCCTGGCCCAGTTACTAGCAGCTTTTCCTAGAGGAGGAGGTGCTCCAGAGGCAGGAAGCCGGAGCCAAGAGGTGGGGGGTGGAAGGTGGGATCTGGGCCCAGAGTCTCAGCCCCCTCCCCACCAGGCTGGGGCCAGCACAGGAAATGGAGCTATGGGGCCCTGTACAGGGAAACAGACATCCATCACACAGGCCAGTTGGAGGCGGTGGAGGGGGGGGCTGCTTCCTGAGGAAGCTGGAGCTGGGCTGCTGCAGTCTCCGATAAAACTGCTTGTTCCTCAAAGGGGAGGCTGGGAGCGGGGGGACACAGCTCATTCTACTCTCCAGTCTTTACATACAGCTACAGGGCTTTGGACTGCTCATGGGCATGTGAAAACCAAGGACAGGGCCACAATGGAACCCTACTGACCCAGAGATCCTCACAGAGACAGTCTACAGAAGCTTTTATTCTTATCCCATCTTTTTCCCAGTTGAAGAGTTCTGGTATCTACAGCTGAGGACAGACGTAGCAGACATCCAGAGTCCAGGACAAAGGGGTCCTGCCAACCCTCAGAAAACATACTGGGGTCGAGCTGAGACTAGGCTAGAGGCAAGATGGGGACTCGTACCCACCCCCATTCCATGGACAAAGGCAGTCTCTGTGCTGGTTAACAGTTAGGCACCTCACAAAAGCACTCTGTGTGCTTGCCCAGAGGGACCCTAGGCTAACTAGTGACCTCTGTCCTCTCCCCTGGTGAGGGCATTCCTTCTACCCCCTTTCCTGTTCCTCAAGGAAATGCCAACTGTGGCAGAGCCTGGGCACACAATTGGAGGCAGTACCATCCTGCCTTTATAGGAACACCTACACAAACAAACCCAACAACACCCACGTATGTTTCCACATGCACAGCCATGAATGTTCACATTGAGGAAGATCCTTGCTCTCCCATCTGGCATACAGATGTGTGAACTTGATCCCTCCATGTTCACACACCAGGGCTGCCCAGACCTTGATGAACTCATATCTGTACCATAAACATACTCTCCTAGAGGGCTGAGACCCACACTCACGGTAGCAGGCCTGGTGCCCTTTAACTGGGCTTGAGGTGGACAGAACAAGGCTCTACAGAGGGAGGCTAGACTTCCTGGGGCTGAGTCTACGGTTGCCCCTCCCTACTCCCTCCCACCAGGATATTATTGAGAAGGAGGGGGCTGTGGGGGATGTCTGGATCCACTAATGAGTTAAAGCTGCAGCTCCCCCAGACCCTGGACTGCAGGGGGGTTGGGGGGAATGGCTGATGGCTGTTTCCTGTGTCTGACAGCTCCCAGCCTGGCTTCATAGCAGGAAGGAGCTGGGGGAGTCTAGAGGATTCCCTGTAGTCTGGGGCCTGGAGAGAGCCCACAGTTAGAGAGAGGACTCTTTGCTTGGATGGGTAAAGGGAGAACTCAGGTCTAATGGGCACAAGGGTAGGGTATCAGGGGCTCACCGACTGGAGGGCTGGGGCGGAAGGCACTGATCTTATGAAGTAGTTTTCAGCCAGGTGCAGATAGCTTTGACGAAAGGTACCAAGGGGCCGTGGCCCACTCACCACCTTATACAGCTCCAGGCCTAATAAGCCCGCCACAACTGCTGTACTGGTGGCAACAGCTGGGATAATCTGGCCCACAATTTGCTTGATCTGTCAAGAACAGGGCATTTGGTCTGGGCTCAAGGTTGAGGACTAAGATTTGGCTCTCACTTCCAGGCCTGAGCCCCAAAGGGGCGGAGCTACCTGAGCACGGTTGACTGGTAGGATCCCGTAGTTCCGAGCTCTCAAGTTAGTCGCTGCTACCACAAAGTCCACGTGGAAGTTGTTGTCATCCTCCTGCAGGCCCAAGTCACAGCAGTGTTAGCACTGAGGTGGTGTCCCTGTCACGGCGGTGTTGGCTCTGCAGTGCTGTCCCTCCCCAAGGCCAACTGGATGCCACTGACTATGGTGATATTTTATTTGTACTAAAATGTTATTTGTATGTTAATAAATAAAGTTGCCCGGGGGGGGGGGGGTCAGAGCTATTAGCAAGCCATAGGAAAGCATGGCAGTGGTGGCATATGCTTGTAATCCCAGCACTTGGTAGGCAGAACTAGGTAAGTAGCTGTGTGTTCAGGGATACAGCCAGTATTGGATACACATGCCTTTAATCTCAATATCAATCATAGAAAACCTGGAGGTCTATACAGACAGGCCGTGATGAGGCGGTCATGTGGTTGGGTTTACAACCAATGAGAAGGCAGAACAGAAACTCTATATAAAGACTTTAACACAGGAAGTAGCTCTGGTTCGGAGAGGTAGGACCACCGCAGGAGGAAGGGTAAGGTTTTAGCTCTTAGCTCTGACCTCTTGGCTTTCTTCTTTGCATTGGTTCTGTGTTTATTTAATAAGAAGGTTGGTTACATCTACAACTGACTGGTCTTTGTACGGTTTTGTGAGTGGGTATCTACCATTTCCTCCTTTATCACACAGTGCAGATGAGGTGCAAGGGGCAGGGGCTGCTTCCATGGCCTTGAAGGAAGGAAACTGGGGTTCTTGACTACCCCATCTCCTTACCTTCCCCAGCCCAGTTCTTCACTCCCACGTGGGCTCCTACCTTCCCAAACAGCACAGGTTTCAGCGGAGGGCCCTTGCTCCAGTCTTCCAGGGATTCCTGCAGTTCCTTCAACTGCTCTGGGCCTGTCAGGGAGTAGGGGATGGGATCAGTCCTTAGCTCCTTTCCTGGACTCTAGAGCCTGTGTCCATCCGTGGTCTCTGCCTAACCTAGCATTCGCTGCCCCTTGATCAAATCAAGGACTCCCTCACTGATGCGGCAATTGACTTCCTTGCAGCCCCACTCTTTCCCCCTGTGATTACCTCGGGACTCTGTCCTCACCTGGGGACCACAGCTAGGCACTCTGCAGAACATTTTTTTCTTTTCAATTCCAAAAGTCTCTCAAGAGACCTGGGATATGTTTTAGGCAGCAGAGAGAGGACCTACTGAGGGGCCATAGGATGGAGATAAACTAAGCAGCAAAGAGGCCTAGAGGGGGGCTGACAAGATGGGGGGGCAGGCATGGCAAGCCTCAAAGGACTGTTTAGATCAGAATCTCACCAAGCTCAGCAGGAGTTAAAGTATCAGCAGAGATGAGGTTGGGGTGCGTGGAATCAGGCTCCGGCAGCAGCCTCAGCAGTTCCCTGAGTGCAGTCTGGTCTCGTGAGCCAGGCAGGCCATGCATTTGTGAATACAGGTTGGCAGCGGCCAGCACGTAGAGGAAATGCATGTCCTGAAGCCAGGCAGAGAGCAGGAGCAGATTCGTGGGTACGTGGGATGGGGTTCACTGCCCTTTTGTGGACTTGTTTGAATGCCTGACTGTCTCGAGTACAGACACCCACATTTGCACAAGCGCGTCGCTCTCTTTTAGCATATTAGCAGAATGCAAAGGTGGCTACCTCTTCTCTAAGGGGACTCATGTCCAAGGACTGCACTCACTTGGTTGGGGTCAAATTGCAAGGGCTGTGGACACCTTTTGGATCCCGACCAGAACAGAGTTCCATCCTGAAGCACCTGAGGAAACAGAGGCTGCTGGACTCAGTCTGGTCTCCTGGAGCCAGCAGCCCCCCAGTCACTGACCACCTACTTTATCACATGGGAGGTGTCTCAGCAGCTCTACAATGCCGTCATGGAAGCATTGTTGCCAGTGGCCTAGAGCCCACACCACGCAGTCTTGCCAGGTCTGTGGGCGCATTTTTAGGACACCCGTCACTTGCTGCAGTAAGGTTGTCCGATCCATGCCCAACACGGAAGTGCCTGTCCTGCAGAGAAAGGAGGACGCTTGAGGCTGAACTCTGTGCCT